GGGCTGGAGTTTGCGTGTATGTCAGAGAGGACATCTGTTCTCGACGCCTCGGCAGTCTTGAAGGTTCGGACCTGTCCATCCTTTGGCTACGCGTAGACAGCGACGACCATCCGCGCGTCTACGGGTGCCTCTGTAGGTCCCATAGCGGTAATGCCGAAACAGACCGACTCATCGACCATGTTCAAATGACTACAGATTCCTTGCTACAACAGGTCCCATCCGCAGAGATCGTGATCCTTGGCGATTTTAACGCCCACCACGTCGAATGGCTCGGTTCACGTTTAACCGATCATGCGGGGAGATCTGTTTATGACTTTGCCTTGGTATATGGTCTGACACAACTGGTTACATCGCCTACGCGGATTCCAGATGTGGAGGATCATACACCTTCCCTGTGGGACCTTCTGCTGATCTCTCATCCGGACAGATATCAGGTTTCCGCCGATATCCCTCTCGGCTCTTCGGATCATTGTCTGATCCGGAGTGTGGTGCCACTCACGCTCCCCTCGCCGTTGCCTTCTGCAGGTTGTAGCCGTGTTTGGCATTACAGGTCGGCGGATTGGGACAGAATGCGGTCTTTCTTTGCTTCCTACCCATGGATGCGGGTTTGCTTCACGGAGGATGATCCCAGCGCTGTTGCTGACTCTGTCACTGATGTGGTGCTACAGGGAATGGAACTATTTATTCCATCATCTGTGCTACCCATCGGAGGCAGATCGCTGCCTTGGTCCCTCCTATAAGACTGCATTACGCAGTAAGCAGGCGTGTTATCAAGCCTGGGCTGCGGCTTTGGCGACTCGGGATGTAAATACCAGTACACTTAAAAAGAAGTATAACTTCGCCTCCAGGTCCTTCAAAAGAGTTATTGCCAGGGCAAAGTCAGAGTACATAGGCAGAATTGGCGAGAAACTAGTTCGCCTTCCTTCGGGAACCCGTTCATTCTGGTCTCTCACCAAGGCTGTCCAAGGGAATTTCTGTAAGCTATCACTACCATCTCTGCACAGGGAAAACGACTCACTGGCCCAAGACGCAAAAGAAAAAGCCGACCTTTTAGGCTCCCTTTATTTATTTATTTATTCTTCATTGTGTTACACCTTCATCTAAGGATTACAATGGGCGGACTTAATGCCATATGGCATTCTCTACCAGCCAACCCTGAGAGAATTAAACAAGTATAAGTTGGTAGGTGTCAGAAAATGTTAAAATTACTAGACATAATATATTGTATATAAACATAAAATATATTCGCATACGTTCTAAAATTACATATATAAAATAATATAAATTTGCGTCCCCGACTCTCGATGACGCGGGGAATACACCGCCGACCATTCCGCGGTGTGAATGGTCCATGCCGGATGTACTGTTCTCACAGCGCTCGGTTCGAAAAGCACTCCTCTCCCTGGACATCCAGAAGTCGAGTGGGCCTGACGGAATCCCGCCGATTGTGATGAGGACGTGTGTTCCGGAGTTGCACCGGTCCTAACGAGTCTTTTCCGGTATTCCTACTTCCAAGGTGTAGTGCTGAATTCATCGAAGACAGCTTTTGTCCACCCGATCCCTAAAAAAGGCGACCGCTCAGACCCGTCCAACTATAGGCCTATCGCGATCACCTCCTTGTTTTCCAAAATAATGGAATCCATTATTAACTGCCAGCACATGCGGTACCTTGAGGATCACCAGCTGATTAGTGACCGCCAAAAAGGTTTTTGTTGGGGTCGATCAGCTGGTGATCTTCTGGTCTACCTGACCAATAGATGGGCAGAGGCAGTAGAGTCCAAGGGGGAGGCGTTGGCTTTTAGTTTTGACATTGCGATGGCAATCGATCGGGTTTGGCACAAAGCGCTTCTTTCGAAGCTCCCTCCCTATGGGTTTCCCGAGAAATTGTGTGATTAGATCACCAGCTTCCTTGCAGATCGGAGCATCAAGGTCGTTGTAGACGGTGCATGCTCCGACTACAAGCCTATTAACGCTGGTGTTCCACAAGGTTGTATGCTATCACCAACGCTGTTTCTTCTGCATATCAATGATATGTTGCTAACAGGTAACATTAATTGCTGTGTAGATGACAGCATTGGTGATGCTCTATACACCTGCCGTGCCAATATTTCTCGGGAAAACGTCGCTGAGTACCGGAAAAAACTTGTGTCTGAAGTCGTGTCTTTGCTGAACAAAGTCTCGGATTGGCGGCGACTAAATCTAGTCCAGTGTATTCCTCAGAAGACACAAGTTTGCGCGTTTACTGCTTAAAAGAAACCCTTTGTCGTATCTCCTCAGTTTCAAGACACTCCCCTTCTTGCCTCAGCCAGTATCGGAATTCTCGGAGTCGACATTTCGAGTGACGTGCAGTTTCGCGTTAACTTGGATGAGAAGGCCAAATTGGTCTCTAAAACGCTTGGCATGCTCAGCAGAGCGGGACAATATTTCATGCCGGCATACCGCCTGCAACTTTACAAGGCGCATGTTCGGCCTCACATGGAATACTGTTCCCATCTCTGGGCAGCGGCTCCCCAGTGCCAGCTCCTTTTGACCGCATCTAGCGCAGAGCGGCTCGAATCGTCGACGACCGATTCCTTTCCCATCGGCTTGATTCATTGGCACTGCGAAGAGATGTTGCATCCCTTTCCATTTTCTTTTGCATCTACCACGAAGAGTGAACTGAGGAATTGTTCGGATTAATCCCAGCCGCCAAATATCACGAACGCACTTTGCAGCAGAGCTTCCGATACCATCAGCACCATCTGGATGATTGGCGGTCCACCACTGTAAGATGTAGAAGATGTTTTCTTCCTCGCACGACTTCCTTGTGGAATCTATTACCATCAGCGACTTTTCCGGACCGATACGACTTAGGGACCTTCAAGAAAAGAGCGTACTCCTTTTTAAAAGGCCGGCAATGCATGCGCAATTCCCTCCCTGGTCTTGCAGTTGTTCATGGGCGGCGGTAGTCACTTACCATCAGGTGAGTCGCATGCTCGTTTGCCCCCTCTCCTATAAAAAAGAAAAAAAGTCCCGTTTAAAATTAAGTTGTTAGTTTTAAGTTGCACATTTTTTTACGTGGTAGAGCCACGCTGTAGCTATATTAGTAGCATAGTTGTAGCACGAATGGGTCGGCACGACCGGGGAAGGACCACTCTCTTACAGAATAATAAAAATATGAGTATATCCATTGACGTTGAAATCTTATACACAACAATTAGTACATTAAAAGCTTTTCGTAAGTACTGACTCTTAGGACGTTTTCATAAGTCATGACTATTTGGTGTCATTTTTTTGTCATTCACATATCTAAGGCTACTTTTATCCACTATTATATTAAAAAACTAGAAAAACTATATTTGGAATAAGCAGTAAAGCAGCTGTTACTTTTTGCAGTTTAAACTTACTTTATAAAGACATCAACGTGCTAGTCACTAAGTCAAGTAATACTCATCCGACATTTTAAAAATTAAGGACAACATTTTAGGTACAACGTATCTTTTCACACTTTATGAAATAAGGGCACCCCGCTCATCCCCATCCTACGCACCCCGTGCACATTAAGCCTCATTCGCAAGGTGCCCTTATTTCATAAAGTGTGAAAAGATACGTTGTACCTAAAATGTTGTCCTTAATTTTTAAAATGTCGGATGAGTATTACTTGACTTAGTGACTAGCACGTTGATGTCTTTATAAAGTAAGTTTAAACTGCAAAAAGTAACAGCTGCTTTACTGCTTATTCCAAATATAGTTTTTCTAGTTTTTTAATATAATAGTGGATAAAAGTAGCCTTAGATATGTGAATGACAAAAAAATGACACCAAATAGTCATGACTTATGAAAACGTCCTAAGAGTCAGTACTTACGAAAAGCTTTTAATGTACTAATTGTTGTGTATAAGATTTCAACGTCAATGGATATACTCATATTTTTATTATTCCTTTTCCATTTTATTTTTATGAACATAACTAAAAATTGATCTTAATATATCTCGGAGTGTGTTCAATCATCAACCAAGTTTCGGTCACGATAGCCAGTCTCAACGGAATGCTATTTGCACCAGACGGGATTATAGTACACGAAAGTGTGCGTAAACACAGTTGTACTCGTACTCGCTATTCCCTCACACTCATAGTCCGATGGGACGGCAATCCATCTGACCGGTGAGATATCGTGCGCAGGATTAACGCCTATATGTGTTTTTAACGACACAAGGGTGAAAACACCGCCAACCTCTCAAAATGATGATAAAATACCTAATATCTGTTTATGTCTCGACCCGCGATTCAAACCCGGGACCACATGAATAGCAGTCATAATAACAGTATTTTCAATACTTTTCTCATAAATGGAATTTATGTTTTGTAATGTTTTTGTTATAAATATTTGCCTAGAATTTTTGTATAATTAAATATGGTTATAAGAAATCGGCTTATTACTCGTTACCTAATTACTAGTGAGCATAAAGTGCAATAATTAAAAATGCAACTTATACAGCAGGTCAAGTGGAACTATTTCTCAATAATTGTAAATGCTATTAGCTCTAACGTAGTGACTAAATCGCAACGTAAAGCGTTCCCTAATTAGTGGGAAATACAGACTTAAATCATCATTTAGTAAAAATCTAATTTTCATTGTTATTTTCACGTGTATTTAGTTTATATTAATAATGAAGTCATAAATGTATTTCATGTTTCCATTTTAACATCATAACATACATGACATGAACTACCATTGCTTTGCATTTGTGTACACAAGAACAGAGAAGAAGAGAGGTAGTAATGTTTTGTTTCAATTAAACGTATGTGTTATTTATTTTTAAGTTAAAATTCTATTGTAATAAAATTTGATTACAATCCAATTATTGTGATAGCTATAAATAAATCTTTAGTTCTTATTTCATTTCTAAAAAAAAAAAAAAAAAAAAAAAAAAAAAAAAAAAAAAAAAAAAAACACTTTATAGTTCTATTTATTAGTTTATGTGAATGCTTATGCAAGTAAAATAAAATTCAATAGTTTTTAAGGTTGAACAATTATAATTATACACAAGTCTTTCACAACAACACAGAAGGAGAGAATAGAGTGGAAAGTATAAGCATATAAATATCACATTAACAGCAAATATAAAGTTTGTAAAGAAAGCACGATTATAAGAAGTCTTACGTAAACTTATTAACTATACAGTAATGTCTTAACACGAATAAATGGGCGAACAGTATGGCATACGAAAACGTACTGGTTACTGGTGGCACAGCGCAGGGCAAGCGATCGGAGCAAGGACGGCCAGCGGTGAACCGGTTTGCTGGTGACATCGCGCCATCGGACCGACCGCCGCATTAGAACAATAGCCACTGCTAATATTTATGTACATATAATAATTTTTGTAGTACTGTCTGTTTGTAATTATAACATTTATATTTATGTACAGATTATTTAAATTTAAAGATGATATGTAACGAAATTACTTAAAGTTGCTTATACATTACTTAAATTATATTATATTAATATTTTGTATACCACATCACCCCCCACCAGAGACCGTGCCTACGGGCGAAAATAATCAGGATAACGTACATGTCTTCCTGATCGTGTCTTTTTTATGGTAACTTTATGTTCAATGTTTGGTGTGCTGGTTTGTGTGATCTTGGTGTTAGTGTTATTGTTGTTTGTGGTGCTAGTGTGTGTTGTTTTGTCTATATCATGTAATATAAATGCAGGTTTGATACGATCTATTGATACGGTGACTGGTTTACCATTAAAAAGAATTTTAAACGTTTTATCTCCTCTGCTTATTACTTTATGGGGTCCAGAGTATGCAGGCTGTAAAGATCTACGAGCGTCATCTCTTAGAAAAACATGGTCGGTTGTTGCTAGATCCTTAAAGACAAAGACTGAACGATTATTACTATGCCTTGACGCTGGAGATGGATGTAAGTTTTTCGCAAATGTACGCAATCGTGTTATATACTCGGTCACATCCGCTGTCCCATCAGCTTGTGGTACAAAGAATTCGCCTGGAAGTCTAATAGCTTCCCCATAAACCAACTCTGCTGATGAAGCTTGAAGATCCGCTTTAAAAGCGCTACGTATTCCTAACAATACTAAAGGAAGAGCTTCGACCCAGTTTTCATTTGAGTGACAGGTGATGGCGGCCTTCAGTTGTCTATGAAACCGCTCAACTAATCCGTTGCAAGCTGGATGGTAGGCTGTAGTTTTTTTATGTTGAAATCCCACCATATCTGATAATCGCTTGAATAACGCTGATTCAAACTGTCTTCCGCGATCCGATATAATGTCTGTTGGACATCCGAAACGAGCTATCCAACCGTAGACTAAAGCTTTAGCTACTGTTTCTGCCGAAATATCACCTAACGGTATTGCCTCAGGCCATCGAGTAAATCGATCGATTGCTGTGAGACAATATCGGTATCCTTGCGCCAATGGTAATGGTCCTATCAGATCTATGTGAACGTGCATAAATCTAGCACGCGGTAATTTGAAAGTGCCTATGGGTGAATTCACATGTCTAGTGATTTTTGCACGTTGACATGCTAAGCATGTTCTGGTCCATTCTCGGCAGTCTCTTCTAACACCTGGCCACACAAATCTTTCAGATACCAGTTTGGCTGTGGCGTTCGCCCCAGGATGACTCAGAGAATGAAGGTTTTCAAATTTTCGAAGTTCCTTTGTTACGTATGGCCTCGGTGGATTGCTTCTCTCATCGCAGTACAGTTCAGTATGAGTACCTGGTATTTTAAGTTTTTTGAGGCATAAGGAAGTACTACTGTTCAGGAGTTGTTGTAGTTCTGCGTCGGAGACTTGAGCTTTAGCTAACACTGTCATATCAATGGGCTGAGTAATGTCTTCGATTCTTGATAAAGTATCAGCTACCACATTGTTCTTTCCTGAGATGTGTCTGATGTCAGTAGTAAATTGAGAAATAAAATCGAGGTGTCTGAACTGTCTTGGTGAGCAATTTTCTTTACGTGAGTGAAATGCGTAACAAAGGGGCTTATGGTCTGAATAGATAGTAAATTCTCTAGCTTCCAGCATATGCCTAAAGTGCTTGATAGCTTCATAGACAGCTAGAAGTTCGCGATCATATGGCGAATACTTTTTTTGTGCTACACTTAGCTTTTGTGAGAAAAATGCAAGTGGCTGCCATGAACCTTCCTTACGCTGCTGCAATACAGCACCAATTGCAGTATCAGAAGCATCCGTCACCAAAGCTATTTTAGCAGAACAATCAGGATGTGCTAAAAGTGTAGCTTGGCATAAGCTCTGCTTGCATGATTCAAATGCTTCTAATTGTTCCGTGGACATCTGAATCGGATGAGAACCTTTAACTGCACCTGTCAAGAGTTCGTTCAGAGGCACTTGATACTTAGCTGCATTGGGGATGAATCTTCTGTAAAAGTTAAGCATGCCTAAAAATCTTCTTAACTCTTTGACGGTTTTTGGTCTTGGAAAGCTTTTAATCGCTTCTACTTTGGATGGTTGTGGCTTCGAACCCTCTGCTGAAATATGATAGCCTAAAAATATAACCTCGTCGGACCCAAATACGCATTTAGCTGTGTTTATTACCATCCCAAACTTCTTTAGACGAGTAAAAATCTGACGAAGGTGATCTTTATGTGTCTCTTGGTCCTTTGAGTACACTAAAAAGTCATCTAAATAAGCATAGCAAAAATCTAGGCCACGAGTCATTTCATCTACAAAGCGCTGAAACGTTTGCGCACTATTACGGAGCCCGAAATTCATGAACGGGAATTCGTAAAGTCCAAAAGGCGTTGTAATAGCAGTTTTAGGAATATCTGCTTCGTTGACCGGAATTTGATTGTAGGCTTTCACTAGATCTAACGTTGTAAATATTTTACAGCCGGAAATATTGTGAGCAAAATCCTGAATATGGCGTATGGGGTAGCGGTCTGGAATTGTTCTAGCATTCAGTGCTCTGTAGTCACCACATGGCCGCCACCCATTATCCTTCTTAGGTGTAAGATGCAATGGCGACGACCATGGTGATTCTGAAGGCCTAGCAATACCAACCTTTAACATTGCTGCAAACTCCTCTTTTGCTATTTTTAACTTATCAGGCGATAATCGCCTAGGTGTACAGGCTACCGGCGGCCCCGGAGTGGTTCGGATGTGATGCACTGTATTGTGCTTAGACACACCCTGAACCCCTGCTGGGCGTGTAATATCCGGAAACTCTTTTAAGACATCATGATAAACCGAATCACCAGTAACAATCTTCACAGAAAATATATCTAAATTAGCAGGCAAAGCTATGGTGGAGAGTGATGTGACGCCGTCTATAAGGCGTTTATTTCTACAATCAACAATCAAATTGTAAAATGACAAAAAATCTACACCGATAATTGCTTTTGTTACATCTGCTACCACAAATTGCCAAGTAAAGTCACGGCGCAAACCTAAATTTAACGTTAAATGAATATACCCATAAGTATTTATTACAGAACCGTTAGCTGCACTTAGTTCATAATTAGTTTTTCGCCTATCCTCTTTAATAGCCGCTCGCGGGAAAACACAGAGATCGCTGCCTGTATCAACGAGAAACTGCATCTTCGTATTGCGGTCAGTAACGAATAAGCGACCAGTACTTGGGCAATCGTAGGTCGCCGTTATCGATTGCCTTGCACATTTCCCGACTGAGAATAGTCACAAGGTTTAATGCACTTACTTGCACGATCGCCGTATTTACTATGATACCAGCACGTAGGGAACCTCTTGTGACTGGAAGGAGATCTGGTGTTGCTTCTCGGGCGGCTTCTACTTCGTAATCTAGGACGCCTCTTGTTTAAGTGAGTTGTTAGGGTCTTCACTTGCCTGGTGAGCTCAGCTATTTGACCTTCCAATTTCTGTACTCTGTCCTCTGGTGCATGGCTTGATGTAGATGCTACTTGTGGATACGGAGGAACCACGTCATGAATTTTGTCCGCTAGCTCTGCTAGTGCTTCAAGGGAAGTGGTCGTTTGTGACACGATGATTGTTTGCGTGCTATTTGGTAATCGACTCATCCAGATAGTTCGAAGAAAGTCATCAGGTATACCTGGTCCAGCCAAATGTTGCAAGTGCCGAAGGAATTGCGAAGGTTTTCTGTCACCTAACTCTTCGTGCATTAGTAATTGATTCACTTTTCTGTCTCTCGAAGCCGACAAACGTTTAATTAATTCTGTTTTTAACTTTTCGTATTTCTCTGTATTTGGAGGTGCGATAATTATATCCTCGACTTCTGATGCATATTGTGGTTCGAGTTGACTTACTATGTAATAAAATTTTGTTGCATCTGCTGTTATATTCGATATCGCAAACTGTCCTTCGATTTGCGCAAACCAAATTGCTGGTTTTTCTGGCCAAAATGGCGGTATTCGTACGCCGACTCGACAAACATCAGATGATGAGGCGAGACTTTGTTCGGCGGCTTTTTGTTTCTCACTCATATTTATATTGTGTACTTTTACGGGGTCACCACTTTATAGTTCTATTTATTAGTTTATGTGAATGCTTATGCAAGTAAAATAAAATTCAATAGTTTTTAAGGTTGAACAATTATAATTATACACAAGTCTTTCACAACAACACAGAAGGAGAGAATAGAGTGGAAAGTATAAGCATATAAATATCACATTAACAGCAAATATAAAGTTTGTAAAGAAAGCACGATTATAAGAAGTCTTACGTAAACTTATTAACTATACAGTAATGTCTTAACACGAATAAATGGGCGAACAGTATGGCATACGAAAACGTACTGGTTACTGGTGGCACAGCGCAGGGCAAGCGATCGGAGCAAGGACGGCCAGCGGTGAACCGGTTTGCTGGTGACATCGCGCCATCGGACCGACCGCCGCATTAGAACAATAGCCACTGCTAATATTTATGTACATATAATAATTTTTGTAGTACTGTCTGTTTGTAATTATAACATTTATATTTATGTACAGATTATTTAAATTTAAAGATGATATGTAACGAAATTACTTAAAGTTGCTTATACATTACTTAAATTATATTATATTAATATTTTGTATACCACACCAGCGTAAAATAGCAGCTTAACGCTGCAGTGTTTCGTATTGTGAGTGTAGAGAACCGGAGACCATATTTACTGGAAACGGGGCATTCTATCTTAGTCCTCGCGGGTGACGACGCATCTGCATTTTAATTTGTAATCGAGGATAGATGTAGATGTCTATGGGCCGCAGCAACCACTAACCATCAGGTGGACTGTGTGCTCGTTTGTCACCCTTATCTTAAATTAAAAAAAAGTTAAGCTGAAGTGTTATAGAATGGGTGTAATTAGTTTTAGACAAATGTAGTCAATTTTAAGAATATTTATAGCACGAGATATTCTCGATAAAATCTTTCAACACCTTTTTTATAATATAGGAGCGATAAATTACAGGTCACCTGATAATAAGAACTACTGCAGGGCATGGACATATACATCTGAATCAGCTTTCAATACTATATCTATCATCATCATTACAGGAGAAAGGAAGCCTCGCCACCTATCAAAAAGGTGAATTCCAAATCAATACGGTAGCATTGTATGTCTAAACCAAACGTCTAGTGTACAATTTGCTACGCTAGGCTTGGAATGTGGATTGTGGGTATTAGATAAAGTAGATGGTGTACCAATACATATCACCCTTATACACATATATATGATAATTTCAATGATGCCGCAACCATACACGGTTGCACAACACGTGTGCACGACTTCAATGTTAAACAGTCAACTCGATAGACAGGTTAATTAAACGCTTCTGCTAGTAACATTTCGAATATTAATTTTACAACTCCTATAATATTTAAAACATCCTTAGAAATCTCTTTTGGTTGAGCCTTTATGAATATCATTATTAATTTGAAAGATTTTTCGGTTGAAATACAAAAAAATGAAACGTGACATGAGTTATGAAACACGTTCTAACTGAAATCTTTAACTATCACTGTTCAAAAGGAATAGATGATAGCTTCTAAAACTGAAGTACAGTCAAGGCACGTATTTCGGTATTACACTTTGCGAACTTGGTTGAAGTAATATTTTTGGGGTCGCTTTTAACTCACAAATAAGAAAGATAGAGATTATACATATTTATAGTAGCTATATGTTTTATATCCCACTGATGGGCACAAGCCTTCTCTCAATTTTGAGAAGATTATAGGGCTTAGCTGCCGTGTTGCTATAAAGTGTGTTTGCGGAGTTGACATATCCTTCAAATATTTTTATTCCTCAGACAAACAGACAAACACACCAGACCGATTCCTTACGATGATTTCCTTCATCGGCGGTGATAAATAAGCCCTTAAATAATTGCTAGGGCAATAAATAATTACATCGGTGTCGGTGGATATCGAAAACCCGTGTTAGTCACAAGCAAAATTTACGACTAGTACTTAAATCCTTGAGCTACCACGGCGATGAACGAAGCCTTTTTGCCATTTTCACATAGCCCGATGGATCAGTAAGCTAAAGCGACAACGGACTGTTAGTTCATTTTAAACTTCAATTTTATAGAAAAAAAAAAACAATGAATTCATATCTAATGTTAATCTGCATGTTTTAAGCCCATATGTATAGATAGGATATAAATAAAATTAAAGTTTCTATCTAAAAAACCGGCACATATTAAGGTCAGGGGGTTATTTGTATGTAATTAAGACATAATCATTTTAATTTTTTTTGACTTCTTGTCTGTGTTCAGTTCATTTTCGGAATGACTAAACTGATTGTGATTAAACTTTATTAACAGATTTGATCAAAGCCAGGTTGAATCTAGACTGTGATTTATCCAAAAATGCTTGACTATTTTTTCAAATACGAAAAAGTGCTGTATGTATGGGATGACTTATCTACTTTTTCACTTACATGTGAATCATATTTGCTCTGTTGGTAGATGAATAACGCTTTATGAGAAATCATTCCAAAAAGGTTAAATCCAAATACCACAAATTGGCGATTAAGAGCAGAAATTAATTTACCAAGGCAATCTAATAGCATAATGTAAATAGTAAAGTGTATCATACTATTGCTGTATTCAACTAAAAGCTAGAACCCTTTAAGATAATCATAAAAATAAATTCACGTTACATTAATATATCAAAGCGAATCTCTGACCCGCGAAATCGCTCTTAAATTATTGACCCTCGTCAGATGCGGTAAATCTGTCTTAAAACTGTTAGCGATGATATATTTTCACCAAAATATAAGTTAAAGTACAACATTATGACTAGTATCGTTATGTGCCACAAATAGCAAACTAGCATCGATTTTACATGTTCACATTTGAAAGTTATCTTGAACAAATTGTAGTCTGATTTCGATAACCGAAAGGCCACAAAATTAATATAAATAAATAAACTTTAATACTATTTAATTGATTGATATTATATTAATAAATGATCCGTTTTAAAATATTGCGTGAAGTAAGGGTCTATTTTTAGGATTTAGGAGGTTATTTTTAGGTACATCTGGATTAGTATAACCCTTTTGTCTATTTCTGTTGCTAAGCAACAGTACAACGATAGTGCATCAAAGGGTAAGATAGTAAGTATAATTTGAGGCTGTAAGGCATACCGGAATCCAGTAATGGATTCACTGTTTTCCCTGTTATTTTTGTGTAATCGATGCATATGGTACGGAGGTATGTAATCTTTTTTTGCGACAGATAGGAAAACATACTTCAATTTTAATTGTAAACCAGTATTTGAATCTGGACAGCCAACATCTGTCCTTGAAATATTATGGAAAGTTTATTTAAAAAAAAATCAATCTCGCTTGGACACGGTGGACTGTGCTTACTAACAAACAATGGGCTGGTGTAATAAAAGTACAATAAATAAAAAAACTGATATAATAAAATTACATGGTACTATACACATAATGTAGATGATTGGCAGTCCACCATCATTAAATAAAATATTATGAAGTCACGAAGTTCAAAAACATTTTTTTGATTTGATTTGGTGCTGGTAGGTTTTCACGACACATTTCTTTGAACGATGTCATCCGAAGGGCTCTTGTCTCTATAAATGTTCCCTCGGTTTTAGAGCTTTGTGGAATTATATTTAGAAACGATGGCAGGAGACCCGACGGTATGATATTGGTCCCTCGGGAGAGAGGTAAAGCCCTAGTGTGGGATGCTACTTGCGTGGAAACTTTCGCGGCCTCTCATCTCAAGGGTACCTCGTTTAGAGCTGGGGCATCATCAGATGCAGCTGAACTGAGTAAGTGGCGCAAATATGAGTCTCTGAGAGATGACTACATATTTGTGCCATTTGCTGTAGAGACTATCGATCCGTGAGGTCCGCGTGCGGTAAGTTTCTAAAGGAATTCCATCCGTGGCTGATCGTTGCTGCTGGTGATAAGAGGGCTTGTTATTTTTTCACTCAAAGGCTAAGTATAGCCATTCAGCAGGGAAACGCAGCCAGTGTATTTGGCACTACACCGATGTATATACCGCCGCATCTATTATCTACATAAAACACATAGAACGCATCTTTTATCTACATAGAAACTAGTAGCGTCGCGACGACAATTCGCCTGTTGCTACTGCCTGCGGCCGGCTACGGAATAGTACCTTTAACAAGAATAAATGTTTTAAGTTTGCTTGGCTTTCCTAGGTTCCCTTACCTGTTTCTGCCGCCAGTTAACAGTACCTACATTGCTGTGGTTCGGTCTGAAGAGTATTGAGAGCAAGGCTGTGATGCATTCCAGTTTAGTCCCCAGAGGTAACAACGCATTTGTTTTCTTCTTTGTTTGAAGTTAGCTGCAGATATCCATGGGCTATAGTAGACACATACCATCAGGTGGACTGTGAGTTCATTTGTTACTTCAGTTTAGGAAAAGACAAATGTGCAAAACTCGTCTACATTCGTTACGCCTTTAAATGATTCCGGCAATATTTTAGAAGTTAGGGTAGTCAAAATCGAAATCGTCAGATAATATAATTTAGTGGATTTATTTGAAAATGTATTTCTTTCTTAAAGAACAAAATATTTTAAGCTACAAACTTGACGACAAGCATAGGTACAGTCTATCAGATATCAACTAAATAATGTTTCTTTATAATCTAAATTATTTATAAATATTGAAGGTGAATGTATTAGTATTATAACGTTATAAAAGAG